GCTAGGAAAACTAATCTATTGTCTGGAGAGGAGTTCTAATCTTTACAAATCCGTATCTCCCGAGTTGTGCTACACTGCCTGCTTCCTAGGTTGGGTCTGTAGAGTGTTTATACTGCAGCAGGCAGGTGCTCCATCCTCTAGGTTCCCAGGGTGAGAGGACAGCACAGCATCTTACAACTTAACCGCAGCACAGGTATGTCAGCTTGGTAGGAACTGGGGGCACCGTGTCCTAGATTGGGGCTTCGAGTACTGTAGGACTGACACCTGGCCAGCTGGGAGTGGAACAGGTTAGGAGAGAGGAGTAGTAGTGTTGGTCATGATTGTCATGTCAAAGCAGAAGAGCGAGGCAAACACTATTTTTGTTGTCCCTTTTATTCGTTGATTATAGGAAAACCAGTCTGCAAATTACTGAACTCCTCCCTGAGGAAATTGAAAGTAGCTTACAGGAAAATGGAGCTGAGGAAGATGCGAAGAAAATTGATGCCTTGCTAAGCCTTCCTAGGAACCCTACATCACCAGATAAACAAGATAAGGACTGAGAAGATTGTCGACTTGAATGAAACTTGTTGGCTTGCTGAAGAACTACGTGGCCATGCACATGAATGCCCATGCCAGGTTGTACAATGGTCAGCCTGCTGACAAACATACGCACTGGTGCCTCTGGTGGCAGTTGAATGGCTCTTTAAAAAAAATCAAGATTGGGGCTGAGAAGGTGGCTCAGTGGTAGAGCGCTTGCCTTGCATGTGTGAGGCCCCGGGTTTGACTCCTTAGCACCACCTAAGCAAAAAGAAAAAAGCCAGAAGTGGCACTGTGGCTCAAGTGGTAGAGCACTAGCCTTGAGCTGAAGAGCTGAGGGACAGCGCCCAGGCCCAGAGTTCAGGCCCCATGACTGGACCCCCCCCCCCAAAAAAAAAAATCAAGATTGGCTGTTGTATTTTTATTTACCCTTTTAATTTAAACATGTACTTACATGTATATTAATCTACAGATAAGCTTGTATTTCATTTTCCTAGATTTTATCAAAGTAAGTAAAACAATTCCCAAAAGATTAAAGTTGAATTCTGATTGGTTCTTGGATAGTTTGGATAGAGCTGAGCACACATACTCTAATCCCAAAGCTCTCGAAGTTGAGATAGGAGGATTGTGAGTTTGGGCTAGCCTAGGATACAGGAGATCTTATCTCAAAGTAAAAAAAGAGAAACCACGTGGGTGGGGGATCTCTAGGCTTCAGAACCAGGTAAAGTAAGTGGCTGGTAAAGAAACTTGTGTCCTTGGACCCTGGATGTAGTGTAGTCCTAAATGTACAGTAGTGTTTAGTTTTGTCTTAAGAATAAAAAATAAATCCAGACACCAGCGGCTCATGCCTTCAATCCTTAGAAGGATGAGATAAGGGGTTGTGGTTCAAAGCCAACCCAGACAGACAGATTCCTGTTCTACTTAACCTGCAAAAAGCTGGAAGTAAAAGTGTAGCTCAAGTGGTAGAGTGCCAGCCATGAGCAACAAAGTTGAGTGTGAGCTTGATACCTTGAATTCAAGCCCCAGTATGGCACAGGAAAGGTTATTCGTATGCCATTTGAAATAAGGTACAAATTTTAACAAGAAAGAAGTAGGTTAGCATTATTAAGAGACAGCTCGACTTTGTTAACTCTTTAGCTGATAGCATCCGTTCTATAGTATGCAGGAGCCACCTAGTGGAGAGATGCCATTCCTACACTCAGCTTGCTGCCTAAGAAGGAAGCTGTCCTGCAGATTTTCGCTGTCAGCACTTGAAAAGCAATCAAGGGTGAACTAAATGTGTGACAACCCTTCCTCATCTAGAGTAGTTTTCAGTTTCTGCAAGTTTTCAGTTATACTCTAGCTAACTGTGGTCCAGAAATAAAAGTGGAAGGTTCTTGAAATAAACATTTCAACTTTTAGATAGTGTGCCTATCTAAGTAGCATGTCCCATTGCGTGCTACCCTTGTTACTACATTGCCTTATTAGATCAGGTGCATGTATTAACTAACCCTCATTTTGCTTTTATTTGTAAGGTGAGAGTTCTTGACTGTAGTCCAGTACTACCTAGGCTTCAGGCATCACTGGGGGTCTTGGAATTATCCTTTGTAGCTAAGGCAGGACTTCTATATGAAGGGGTAAGTACTGCTATTTTAAAAAAAATTTTTTTGCCAGTCCTGGGCCCTTGAACTCAGGGCCTTGGCACTGTCCCTGAGGTGCTTTTGCTCAAGACTAGCACTCTACCTTGAACCGCAGTGCCACTTCCATTTTTTTCTGTTTATGTGGAAATGAGGAATTGCTAGGCAAGCATCTCTATCTCTAAGCCACATTCCCAGCCCACTGCTGGGTTTCATTTTGGTGTTGTATCTCTCTCCTACCCTACTGTTGTTGCACAGAACAAGGTGTGTGGAACAGCATCATGTAGTAGTTAAATCCATGAGCTCTGAAGACCTGGCTTCCCATTTCAGCCTTGTGGCTCAGCAACCATGTTCCCAATGGCAAAACTATTTTACAGTCTAGGGATCAAACCCAGGGTTTAGGCACATGGTAGGCAAGCACACATTGAGCTATATCCCCAGCCCATTTGATTTTGAATCTCAGTGTGTTCACCTGCCAAGTGAAATGGTATGTACTTGAAAATAGATATTAAATGAAACTATTTAAGTGTGATACTGGCAAATATACATTTGCTCTTAGTATTTGATATGAAAATTCTATCATCCTTGTGAAATGAGCGTCTTTTGTATGTTAATGAGTTAAAGGGTGGCTGGCCACCACTTGGGGACTGAAGCACCAGAAAGAGCAAAGCAGAACTCAAAAGGTAAATATTTTCAGATCTACTCTACAAGCCCTGATGAGATGAGAGAGATGATCATCAATGGCCAAGGTCATGTACTGAAGCCTTCATGAACTGCAAATGTTCAGGCTTTGGAGAACTTGTGGATGAGCAAATGTGAGGTTCTTGGAGGGTGGTATACCAGACAGTTTTCCACATCCTTTTGGCCATACACACTCTATGCACCTCTGCCTTTGCATTCTTGGCAGTGCCTTTTATAGTAAACTAATAAATACAAGTGTTTCTCTTGAGTTCTGCAAGCTGCTTAAGCAAACTAATGGAACCCAGATTGTCAGATTCAACTGCACATGATTGCTGGATGGCTGGTGGAAATCCCTACACCTTGCAGATCCCAGTAGTTTTCCCAACAAAAACATTTTGTGGGGCTGGGAAGGTGGCTCAGTGGTAGAGCGCTTGCCTTGCATGCATGAGGCCCTGGGTTCGATTCCTCAGCACCACATAAGCAAAAAAGAAAGAAACTGGAAGTGGCACTGTGGCTCAAGTGGTAGAGCGCTAGCCTTGAGCTGAAGAGCTGAGGGACAGCTCCCAGACCCAGAGTTCAGGCCCCACAACTGGACCCCCCCAAAAAAACCCATAAAACATTTTGTATAATGTGTGCTCTGGCACATGGCATACTAATACTAGCTGTAAGGATGGTAAGGGCTTCTGCACCAACCTCCTGGCACCATGATTAACGTGTTCTTACCACACTCCATGAGGCATATTTTTTGTTTGTTTTTGTTGGTTGTGGGGCTTGAACTCTGGGCCTGGGTGCTATCCCTTAGCTCTTCAGCTCAAGGCATGCGCTCTATTGCTTGAGCCACAGCGCCACTTCCGGTTTTCTAGTGGTTTATTGGAGATAAGAGTCTCACAGACTTTCCTGCCCAGGCTGGCTTTGAACTGTGATCCTCAGATCTCAGCCTCCTGAGTAGCTAGGATTACAGGTGTGAGCTACCGGTGCCCAGCTTCATGAGCATATTTTTTGTAAGTCAGTTTATAAATTACAGATTAGCAATTTGTCATCTGTTAACATTGTTTTATTCACAATCACACCTTGGTTAAGTCTGTCAATGAGAAATAAACTAGGGAGTTGCTTTTAAAAATAATTGTATTCACATGAAAATATCAGAAAAATATTTTAAAACCACATCCAATGTCATAAGTAATAATTTAATATAATTTATTTGAATTTACTAAACATTCCTTTAGATTTGTCTTATTGTAGCTAATTCTTTTTTTGAGATCTCTTTTCAGTCTATCTAAGGATTATGAATCTTGATACTTCCTGAAAACTTGGTGTTTGTTTCAGTTGTCAACAAATTGCTTTCTTTTCTTCAAGTTATTTCCACAGTGATTTTCTCCCCCCTCAGGGCACCCATATAGAAGTGCACTTGTGTTTTGTGTTGGCCCTATGAGAGCTACCAAAACTAAACTTTCAAAACCCAGCCACATCTGAGAAGCTTGGTCATTTCTTCCCATCCAATTCTAAGTATTTTCAGATAATAACATCTTATTTGGCCCATCTTACATTTGGTCCACTCCTGGTCATTACAAGCACTAGACAACAGTTTCAGAGAACGAATTGAGAGTAACAGCAACAGTGGCTAGCTACTTTTTGCTTTCCAATTCTCCATTGATGGCAGAAGGATCTAAAAATATCAAGTAGAAAAGCCACTTGTAGGGGTCTAAAGAAGCCCAATGGAAGGCAGTTGCTGCATAGCCTATAAACAGTAAACAACAACAACAAACTACTTTATTGTTTTCTAGCTCATACTAGCATAATACCATTTAAAAGGTTTCCAGTCCAATATGAACTATCAGATTATGAATCTGTAAACATCTGTTACTGAAATGTTGATTTGAGGTATGAAAGATGTTCATTTGTCTTACTTATTAAAGGAAATTCATTTTGGACAGTTCTATTTCCTCCTGAGTCTGATATAAAAGTGGGAGAACTACAAAGAAAATGAAAAATGCTAGCCAAATTACACGCTTTCCAATACTCTCAAGTAGGTATGTATACCAACACCCCATAGCCCTGGTTGTGGGGCTTGAACTCAGCCTGGGCGCTGTCCCTCAGCTTTTCAGCTCAAGGCTAGCACTCTACCACTTGGGCCACTTCCAGCTTTTTATGCTTATGTGGTGCTGAGGAATTGCCATGCATGCAAGGCAAGCACTCTACCCCTGAGCCACCTTCCCAGCCCCAACAAGTTGAACTTTTAAATCAACAAAATGATCTTGTTTTCAATAGTGCATAGGAACATAGGATGAATTCTCTGAAGATGACTTGGTGTTAGACAAATTCTGTTTCCTGAAGCACTTGGACTGACCAGTACAGGGCCCAGAGTTTAACTATGAAGGGAAGGGCCCCCAGGGACTCTGGGTTTCTGAACACTCATTCTCTAATGTCCCTTCCAGACATAAAAGAATTGTTTCAAGACCTCCTTGACAAAGTTACTAGACCTATTGTGGTGCCCATTGCATTCCTGTAGACCCTTCTGCAAAGCCACTGAATCGAGAGACTCCTCCTACAAGACATTGTCGAAGGACAAGGTTGGGGCAGGTCTGGTCATATAAAATTTCCTGAAGTCAGTTTCAACTGAAGGTAAGACCTGCAGAAAGAAATGATTAAATATAAGTTGTTAGTTTCATTTTCCCTCGTTTTTAAAATTATTTTTTACTTTATTTTTTCGGTTGTGGGGCTTGTACTCTGGGCAGGTGAGGCTGGGTAGTTTGTAAGAAACACCTTGAGCCCCTCAGGCTCCACTCTCCTCCCCATGGGGAGGGAGAGAGGCTCATAGCTGGGGTTAGTCGTTTCTCTGAGCTTTCGTGTTAGTGTGCTGAAGGTTGGGAAATCAGCAGATGCTCATCTTCTCATTTGCTGTAGCATATATGATTATGACTACAAGGAGTCCAAGCCCCTTCAAAATCAACATAGCCATGGCTCTAGCCTGGCAGTTCCTCGGCATTTAATCACAGAGCTTGAGGGGCAAGATATGCCTAAGGCCTAAGGTCTAAACTCATAGAGTCTCATACCCTAGATACCTCTTCATTTCACTACCCACTCCTCATCTTCCATCCAAAAATGTCTTCTGAATAGTTGGTAAAGTCACTTGTAGCCAGATAGCTTATTGACTTATTACTGCATCTTGTTCTCAAAACAATTTTTTTTCTTCATCCCCAATCTTATCATTCTATCTTTCTTCCAACTACAAACCAAAAATCAGAATATCCCTTAGCATCAGAGAGAATCAGTTAGCAAGAAGCCCTCATTGTCTCCAAGGAAATACAAAGTTAGCATTCAAAACTAGAACATTAAGGGCAGTGACTTCTAGTCTTTGTGACTTTAGTGCTTATGACAGTGCCAGCCACAAAGTGGGGGTTGAAGAAATGTTTGTCCAGTGAAAAAGCAGAAGTGATGGGATGAGAAGACACTTGCTGTGCACATGAGAAGAGAATAAGCTGGCAAGGCAGCGATGCTGCCACATGTAGATGGAGTGTAGGCTTGCAGGAGGATAGGAAGATGCACTTACTCTTGTAGGCCAGGAAAGTGATTATGACTATGTACTGATTATAGCCACAAGCACCACCACGATGATGACCAACCATGAGGGCTGTTTGTCAGGCAACTGTTCGCTGGCTGCTGAGAGAAAAGGGTAATGTCAGCTGTAATGGTGTCCTGTTGCCTGGATTCCTCTTTGTCTCATCAGCAACGCCATGCCCATGATTATGTCTAGTGACTATTCAAATGGCAGATACTCAATACAGAAAAGATAATTTGAACTTTTTAAAAAAATTTAACTTGCAAAGATGATGTACAGCAGGGTTAGTTACATACGTGAGGTAATGACTACATTTCCTGTCGAACATTGTTGCCCGCTCCCTTCCCAGCCAACTCTCCCTCCCCGCCCCCAAGCTGTACAGTTCTTTTCCAGCATGTTGTCTTGTGAGTGTTGCTTTGCACCGGTCACCCTCTGTCCTTTGTCTCACCATTTTGTTATCCCCTTCCCTTCCCCACATCAGATAAGCATATACACAAAGTGCAGGGCACCAAACTAAAAAGCAGTGGCAGCAGGGAATGAACCAAAGGGTGGGGGGAAAAGAATGAAAAAAAGAAATAACTTCACACAGTGCCTTAAAAACTACAACAAAAAACCTCTTGTTCCTATGTCTTGGAGTTCATTTTGATTAACATCATTTTATATGGTCACATGTGCATACAATTTGAACTTTTTCATTTGCTGGATTAAGTTGGCCTAAGAGATAATTTAAAACCCATTTTGTTTTCATAGCACTTTCTCCCCCCCCTTCCCCCTTCTGCATGTGCAGGTACTAGGGCCATGTCTCCACACCACCAGCTTTTTGCTGGGTAATTAGAGGTAAGAATTTCATGATTTTTTTTCTGCCTGAATTGGGTTTACACCACAATCCTCAGGGCTGGGAAGGTGGCTCAGTGGTAGAGTGCTTGCTTGCATGCATGAGTTCCTAGATTTGATTCCTCAGCACCACATAAGCAGAAAAAGCCTGAAGTGGCACTGTGGCTCAAGTGGTAGAGTGCTAGGTTTGAGCTGAAGAACTGAGAGACAGTGCCCAGGCCTACAATTCAGGCCCCACAACTGACAAAAAAAACCCCAAAACACACACACAAAAAAACAAAATCCTCAGAAATCAGCCTCTTAAGTAGTTAGGATTACAGGTGTGCCACCAATCACCAGTGTCCTGCCACAGCTGTTTTTCTAACTGATATAGGTCTTAATGCCATGTTCCATATGTACCTTATTTTTCTTTCTCGATTCACTTCACTTTTTTTTGGGGGGGGGGGGTCCCAGTCGTGGGGCCTGAACTCTGGGCCTGGGCGCTGTCCCTCAGCTCTTCAGCTCAAGACTAGCGCTCTGCCACTTGAGCCATAGTGCCACTTCCGGCTTCTTTTCTTTTTGCTTATGTGGTGCTGGGGAATTGAACCCAGGGCCTCAGGCATGCAAGGCAAGCGCTCTACCACTGAGCCACCTTCCCAGCCTTTATTTTTCTTTCTTTAGTGCTATCATGCCTTTTCCCTTTCTTTTAGCATATTTTACACACACACACACACACACACACACCATGTGTGCATGCACATGCACGCACACACACAACCTGCCTAAATGCATTTTGGGGAAAGATATCGGAAGAGACTGGCAAAGAAGTATGCAGGAAAAAAAAAAAAAAAAGTATGCAGGGATGTGGCTTAGAAGAGACACCCTGGAAAACATGGCTGCTGGACAGGCTCCCTCCAGCTAGCTGTACTTCCAGTCCCTGGAGAAGATAAAGAAGATACAGATGGGGGCGGGGGGAGAGATATTAGCCTGTGGGGGCCATCATTCTGTTCTCTAGATCAAGAGATACAACACCACCTTTATTTTTCAATGCCTTTGAGGAAGAATCAGCAATGGCATCTAGAGAAAGAGAGAGACAGCAAGAACACACATAAGAAGGAATATAGGCTGGGAATGTGGCCTAGTTGTAGGGTGCTTGCCTAGCATGCATGAAGCCCTGGGTTTGATTCCTCAATACTACATAAACAGAAAAAGCCAGAAGTGGTGCTGTTGCTCAAGTGGTAGAGTGCTAGCCTTGAACAAAAGAAGCTCAGGGACAGTGCCCAGACCCTGAGTTCAAGGCCCAGTACTGGGAGGAGGAGAAGGAAGAGGAAGAAGAAGAAATATTAGCAGTCCATTCCCTATGGCTCTCTGGAATGGATTTCAAATACATATTAAACATTACTAACTTTTTTCTGATGACCAAGTGGGAACATTTTGGCCCTTGGCTTATTGGACTGCTCCATACCATTGGGTCCCAGGGATACCTTCTCTGTGGCTCCCACATACCCCATCCTTCTATTTCTGCTGGTTGCAACTCAGCTTCCCTGGAGGCTCTTCTTCCACTTCTTGTCATTTAAATACTGTTGTTCTTATGTGGCTTGATACTCCACACCTGAGCTTCACATGCCATCTGGTTTCTAGATTTGTATACCTTATTTCTGAACTCTGAATTTTGTAACTCCAGATTCTCATTTGATAGTTGGAGGCCAACTTTTCTATCAGGTGAAAACTGAAGGCACTATGTCTTCTTTTTTTTTCCAGAGGACATCTACTTATCCCACTTATTACAATGAGTGGCATGCATAGTTACCCAGCGAAGAGTGTGTGTTTCTTTTGAGCCTCCACATGCTTTCTATGCTCTATGGGAAATATTTTGGTACTAACTACTTTTTCCCAAATCTCTAGCAGCAACTGCCTTAATTAAGAGGTTTCTCATTTCCCACCCAAGAGCCTCCAGACTGGCTTCTACCTCATGTTTTCTAGGCTATTTGTTGGTTACCATCTTCATTCTAAAGTACATATGATCATAGTATAGCTACTATGTCCAGTCTGGGAAAAGTTAAGTTTTTTGTTTTCTAAAATACCAGATCACAGCTGGGAGTTGGTGGCTCACGCCTGTAATCCTAGCTACTCAGGAGGCTGAGATCTGAGGATTGTGGTTCAAGGCCAGCTCAGGCAGGAAAGTCCCCATGAGATTCTTATCTCCAATTAAACACCAGAAAACTGGAAGTGGCACTGTGTCTCAAAGTGGTAGAGTTGTAACCTTGAGCTAAAGAGCTCAGGGACAGTGGCTAGGCCCTGAATTCAAGCCTCATGACTGACAAAACAACAGCAACAAAAAACCCTACCTATAGGGCTGGGAAGGTGGCTCAGTGGTAAAGTGCTTGCCTTGCATGCACGAGGCCCTGGGTTCGATTCCTCAGCACCACATAAGCAGAAAAAGCCAGAAGTGGTGCTGTGGCTTAAGTGGTAGAGCGCTAGCCTTGAGCTGAAGAGTGAGGGACAGCGCCCAGGCCCAGAGTTCAGGCCCCATGACCGACAAAAATAAATAAAATAAAAATATAAAAAACCCTACTTATATTAAAATACAGTTCACAAAATCACATTGGAACTAATTTTTCAAGGTAATTTCCATATAACCCATTGAGGAAAATAGTTAAAGAATCCATTTCAAGCCAAGCACACCTGCACACCTGTAATCCAAGCATTGGAAAGAGTTAGAAGGATCATGGATTTGAGGTGTTGGCCTGAAAGACCCTGTCACAATAAAATAAAAATAAAAATCAAGCCACATGCTGATAGCTACTCAGGAGGCTGAGATCTGAGGATCCTGGTTTAAAACCAGCCCAGGCAGGAAAGTCTGTAAGACTCAATTAACCACCAGTAAACGAAATAGAGCTGTGGCTCAAGTGGTAGAGCACCCAGGCCTTGAGTTCAAGCCCCATGACTGACAAAAATAAATAAGTAAAATAAAAATCAAACAACAACAAAAACAAAAAGAATGTACTTGCAGTATGAAAGATCTATAATAAATCATTCACTAGAGTCAACTAGTAGGTCAGCTAATACATCTCAACTAGTAGCTAGGAGGAAGATATAAGCTACACCGTATCTCACACTACCTGCTGTGTATCACCAATTATCATTCTCAGTGCATCCCTTCTTACTGTGCAGACTCAGAAACTATCTTTGTATTAGAGTTGGGAGCAATCTGTACAGTCACACAAGTTAGATAGCTGAATTCTTTGTGAATTCTATGACAACCTACTAGGGGTTTAAAATGCACTTATTTATATAAACACAACTTGTTCATTTTATACTTCAGGTGATTTCACTAGTTGAGGAATGATAATTCTATAAAGTTTACTATCTGGAAGGTAAAGCATGGGATTAAAAAAACATGACTTCACCAGGCTCTGGTGGCTCATGTCTGTAATCCTAGCTACTCATGAGGCTGAGATCTGACAATCTCAGCCAGAAGTGGAGATATGGGTCAAGTGGCCGAGTGACAGCCTTGAGTGAAAAAACCAAGCAAGGGTGCGATGCCCCTAAGTTCAAGCCCCAGTACTGGCGCACACACACACACACACACACACACACACACACACACACACACACACACACACACACACACACACACACACACACACACACACACACACACACACACACACACACACACACACACACACACACACACACACACACACACAGACTTCTTTCAGGCATTTCCTCAGTACTGGCACACACACACACACACACACACACACACACACACACTTCTTTCAGGCATTTCCTCAGTACTGGCACACACACACACACACACACACACACACACACACACACACACAGAGACTTCTTTCAGGCATTTCCTCAGCTGATCATTCAACTTCTTTATTAAAGTTGGGTCAAACCCAGGGCCTTGTTCATGGTAAAGTGTTCTGCCACCAATAGTTCTTATAAAGCATGCTCACTAAAGACAAGTAATTGACTCATGGGGTCATTGCCATGTAGTTCCCTAAAAGAAACTGCGATAATTTCAAGGGAAATTATAGAGAAGGCCAAATTTAGTGCTTTCAATTAAGACAAATTCTTATAATAATAATTTGCCAAGATGACTATTTGATGGATGAGTTATTAGGTGAGTCAGTTTTAGAATATTTACTGAATCAGTTTTAGAATATTTACTGAAAGGAGCTGGGCGCCGGTGGCTCACCCCTGTAATCCTAGCTACTCAGGAGGCTGAGATTTGAGGATCACGCTTCAAAGCCAGCCCAGGCAGGAAAGTTCGTGAGACTTTTATCTCTAATAAACCACCAGAAAACTGGAAATGGTGCTGTGGCTCAAGTGATAAAGCACTTTCCTTGAGTTGAAGAGCTGAGGGACAGCGCCCAGGCCCAGAGTTAAAGCCCCATGACTGACCAAAAAAAAAAAAAAAATTTTTTTTTTTTTTTTTACTGAAAGAAAATCAAATTAGTAGCACACACCTATTTTCTCAGCATTTGAGAGGCTGAGGAAGGAGAATTGAGAACATGAGTCCAGCCTGGACTACCTAGTGAGATCCTGCCAAACAAATAAGCCAACAAACAAGCCCCCAAGCAAACCAAAAGCAAAAGAAAGCAAAGCCAATAGTAATATCATCATCACATCTTGTAAAGTGGCCCTAAGAAGTTCTACCACATTGTGTTACAAAAGTCAGCAGATGCCATTCTAAAACCTGTCTGGCCAAGTTATTTTTGTCTTAGATTCTACCCAGTAGGCACTCCCAGGACAATGCTGCTTACATGCATGCCAGGTGAAATTCTGTGACACGCGGAAGTCTCCATACTGGATGGAACACAGGAAGATGTGGTCAATGGTAATGTTGAAATCCAGTTGGCTGGTAATGGTGAACATCTTAGTTTCATGATCTTGAGAAATGGTTGTGTTGTGAGTTTTTACGTCTTCTCCATTTTCCAACCAGGAGAGGCGAGGCTTGGGGGAACCTCCAGAGGTTGAGCATGTTATCCTCTTTATGTCAGGAGATGGATCTCCAGATTCAGTTATACTAGGAGTGGGAAAGTCAGCTAAAGAAAGAACAACAGTGTATTTTTACATGTGGATACATATTTGCAGGCATGAGGCTATATTTTTAAAATAAAGTAGCTAGCTTTAATAAGAATGATAAAATGAGATCTAATTTGAAATTCCCCATAACTTACTGCTATGAATAATTCAAAGACTTTGATTTGCATTAACTCTACCACTTTCATGTTTTACTATTTTTATTCTATTATTATTATTTTGGTGGCACTTAGGACGCTGCACTTGCTATATCTTTGTGTGTGTGTGTGTGTGTGTGTGTGTGTGTGTGTGTGTGTGTGTGTGTGTGTGTGTGTGTGTGTGTGTGTGTTGGCTTGTTGAACTCAGGGCCTTGAGCTCTTGCTTGACTTTTTTGCTCAAGGCTGGTGATCAACACTTGAACCACACTTTTTCACTGGTTGATTAGAGATAAGACTTCTGGATTTATCGCTTATGCGGGCTCAGCTGTAATCCTCAGTAGATGGGATTACAGGCTCTGAGGCTCTGAGTTGGCAAAAGGAAGACACTTAGAGAAAGAGATAGATTCAACTGACTAAATACTGACATTTGTAAGAAGAGAAGAGGCAGTGTTTATTGGGTTCTTCTTTGTTAGACTTGGAAATTATCTTATTTTGTCTTAACAACAGCCCTAGAAGTTTGGGTAAAAATATATCAAACCAGGCCTGGTGACCACTGCCTGTAGTTCCAGCTATTCAGGAGGCTAAGGCAGAGGGATTGCTTGAAGCCATACATTCAGAACCAGCTGAGCAATATAGGCCCTGACTGCTAAAAATAAAATGAAAAGGTTGAGTAGCACTCATTTCCTATGATTTAGTCTAATATTCCATTTTATAAGCCATCAAATTGAGATTTAGAAAAGTTATAACTGGTAAGTGGAAGAACTGAGGTTTGCATTCAAATTTCCTGACACCACAAAAATGTACCTGTGGTCCTTTCCTTCCTCTCCTTGATTTCTTGCTGATATTTGAATCACACAAGTGGTCCTGTTCTCTTTGATAGGTTTGTGTAGTAGACTGTAAGGTAAGCATAGCTGTAAAATTATCCTCCAACTAGAGAAGCAGAACACTGGCAAGACCTTTACCTTCATCCCCTCTTGGGGAGGTATATGTCCACACACCTCTCCTGCCTCCAGTTTGCCCTAAATTCACACTTAGTATTCTGCTTTGTAAAATGCAATATCTCACTCACACTAATTTGCATCCACGCTGTACAATATGGAGTCTTTAATCTCAATCTCTACACTTCACTGATTCCTTGGCTATTCTGAAATGTCTTCACAGGACAGATGGCATTTCTCAAAAGCACCTGAGGCACTTTTCATTTCTTTACTCTCAATGAGATACTAAAGTACACTAAAACAGGGTAGGGAAATGACTGTAGAGAATAAAAGAGAAATTCCCTGTTTCCTTACTTAAGTTTGCTCCTAAATGAAACAACAGGTTCTCAGCCATTTTTAGTTGGCATTATTATTTCTTGCCTATTTATCCCATAAGATCAAATCAGTACACCGGCAGCCAATAGCAAGAATATTATCCTTGCTTGATTGGTGCTCTCCTGCTTGAGCTTATGCTGCCTGACTGGATTTTGCAAGTTAGAGATGGAGTCTCAAAGGCTTTTCTGCCCAGGCTGACTTCAAACCAAGATCCTCCAGGTCTCAGTCTTCTGAGTAACCAGGATTCTGGTGTAAGTCACCAGGACCTAGGGAGTCTCCTGGTTTTTCTTATAAAACATCGATGTCATGTGTTCTAACTTGGTGTAATAAATCCAAATAACGTGTCCCGGATTATGATTCCTGCTCATTTCTGTGCTCTGTTTTTTCCCCTTGAGAAATTGTTATATCAGCAGAGAGCCCCTGACACCAAGGATTGTACTAAAAGTCATCTTTTCAAGGACTGACTGGGTGTAGAAAGGCCTCAGCTTTGTCTCTGATCCCTTCCAACAGATGACCAGTTTTGGTTAGTCACTCCTAGGGCTTGTAGGCAACACTGAGTCATCAGTGTAGCTCATGTTCAAGTTTGCATCACCTTTTAGTGGGGAGAAATGATAGCTTATGACTAAAGACAGAGGAAGAGGAACATATGTTTCAGAAAGGTAAAAACCTGTGAATCTGTTAAGTAGTATAGCTACTCCTCCAATGTGTTAGTTTATGGTAGTTTACATATCGCTATCCTGATAGAATGTTTGTCATTTGTCTTAGACAAATGTAGAGTTACAACTTGCTCTCATTTGCCTGAGATTTTTTTTGGGGGGAGGAGAGGGGGAGAGGCCGGTCATGGGGCTTGAACTGGACCTGGGCACTGTCCCTCAGCTCTTCAGCTCAAGGCTAGCGTTCTACCAGTTGAGCCACAGCGCCACTTCTAGTTTTCTGAGTGGTTTATTGGAGTTTCATGGACTTTCCTGCCCGGGCTGGCTTTGAAGCGTGATCCTCAGATCTCAGCCTCCTGGGTAGCTAGGATTACAGATGTCAACCACCCATGCCAGGCTATTTTCTCAGATTAGCACTAAAAATCTTGTGTCCTGAGGAAAGCCCTCCACCCTGGTGAAGCAGCACAGTGGGACACTCTAGCTAAGAGCTGGTTGAATTCCTTACTTCTCTAACTGTGGTTCTCACCCAAGCACTGGCATCTCCTGGAGCCTGGAAGAATTGCAGAATCTCAGATCTAAACCCTAGATTTATTGAATTGGAATTTGCCATTAGGTGGCACATGAACATTCAAGAAGGCTTCAATGGACTCAGAAAGTTCTGAATGGTTCTGGATAAAGTAAGTGAGTTTGCCCTTTTGGTCTTCTCTTCATCAATCTTTGAAATCCCCTTGGAAATCCCATCCTCTCCTATTTATCTGTCCTTGGTTGCCTTACTGTAATCTGCCAGTAGATTTCCTCTTCTCCCTCTTGGATTTCCTCCTTTATCCTTTCCATCCTGAATCTATGTTTCCTGGGATATTCTATTAGAGAACAACAAACATAATGAAGTTCACTAATACAGTATTTTGTTTGTGGTGGCACCTCCCTTGGACTGCACAGCTTTATTTTTAACAGGAATCTTGGGATAGGGGAAAGATATTGAAACTATTAAGGGTGGCTGTACTGATAGGAATTCCAGGAACCAGTGATGGTTGAAATTTTGAAAGAGCTGGCTTCTCAGTACTCCTCAAATCACACCATGGTATAATCGTTTGTTCCAACTACGAACATAAAATACACAGAGAATGGTTGAAGATAGTCTAGTGTAGCCCCTAAGTCTTAGTTATGATCTGGCAACCACAGGACAAGTTGTAGGTAGTGACTGAGGCTGGAAGGATGGTGAGAAATTTACAAGGGATCTTCTGAAATGCTCTATTTTCAAGATTAAACCTTTATACTTTATACTAAGTATAAAGCTTAGTTTTCATGCAAAGAAAAAAGAAAGAATTTGAATTTCAAGAGTAAGGAAATAAGCAAGGCACTGCTTATTTGCACCTGTAATCCTATTTAGGAGGCTGAGATCTGAGGTTCCAATTATCCACCAAAGAGCCAGAAGTAGATGTGTGGCTTAAATGGTAATGTGCTAGCCTTAAGAACAAAGCTAAAGGACAAAGCCCAGGCTGAGTACTAGCCCCAGGACCAGTACACACAGAAAGAAAGAAATTTAAAAAAAGGAAATGACCTAGGGATGTAGTTTCTCATCAAGGACTATGGCTCCTTCTAGACTCTCCGGGACTCTCCCTTGTGATTATGGGAGACTGCTTCTGATCCAACAGGAGATCTGACATGAATACACAGGAGTTTGGACTTGACAGTCTTCTTTCCTGGGGTGGGTATGATTTACACATCTAATTTCTACCATATGACTGTCAGTGAGAGCCTTAAATATAGAATATGTAGATTTGCTTTGAAGATCATACATGTTATCTTACTAAAATAGCCATAGGAATAGTCTTTTTGTTTTTTTGTTTTTGCTTTTGAAGATAAGCAAAGACTAGCTATGCAGGGATAAGTGGAAAAGGAGAGAGAAGCACTCCTGATTTGGGGGAAAGAGGAGCAAGAGTCTACTAGACTTTTGAATACTACTTGGTCAATATTTGTGCCTGAATCGATTTTTCTCTTCCCTGCAAGAGTTCACAGGCATAACTTGCTGGCTCAAACACAGCTCCTAGTAAAATTCCATCAACTCAATCATGTCCTGTGGGAGTCAGAAGGTATGTCAGGTCATGACAGAGCCCCAGATAGTTGTCACCAACTTGAGGTGGTGACAAAGTAACATACATTTATCGAATGTATGAAGAAACGTATGTTCATAGACATTTCTGTCTTGAGAAATCAATTAGGATCTTTTGGAAAACTGAACATGAACCCACTAAGATAAAAGTGCCATCGAACTCAATAGATCCACATCTTTAAGGACATTAAAAGTCTATTAGTGAATCTGAAAATGTCACCAACCTCGGACATAGAGGGCTACCAAGCGTAGGTGCTCTAGTTTGTACGTTTGGTCAGTCTTCTTCTGCACGACGCAGGTGTAGGTGCCCTCATCTGACAAGTGCAGGTTCAGGATCACGAGGGACAGGTTATTAGTGCTGTCAAAGAAGGTCCGGTTCTTGTACTCCGGCCACACTTTCAGAACCCCAGATGTGATACTCAGCACCACTTGATTGTCTTTTTGCCAGTAGATCCGACTTGTGGACAGTTCAACAAGGGGAATTTGATAACCACAGGACAGGGCTACCATTTCTTTCACTGCTTTGAACACCGTAACATCTATGCCTAAAGGAGAGGCAAACAGGACAGATTTTATTTTATGTTATTATATTATTATTATTATACATTAGTACTGTTTTTGAAGTCTGGGTTTCTCAGTTGGGCCTGGCACTCCATCATTTGAACTACACCTCCACTTCCAGATTTTTGTTGGTTAGAGTTAACAGCCTCTTGGATTTGTTAGCCCAAACTGTCTTTGAAACTTAATCCTCAGATCTCAGCTTCCTGAGTAGCTAAGATTACAGGCCTGAGTCACCAGCGCCCTGCTAGGAAGGGAGATATATGATGGTGGATATTTGCCTAGCGAGGTCCTACAGACCAGTCCCAGGCACCTCCTTCATCATCATATTGAAGGGCTTATTTTAGAAGACATAACTGGACGGGGAAGAAATGAAAAGGAAGCCTATTCCCATAGACTTACTTTCTAGTCCCAGTTCAGCTACTTGCTCCCAGACCTGTTTCCTTAAAATGAGGTAGCCTTCAGGATCACTAGATGATTCATTTTGGTGGTAGAAACAGGGACACAGGGGGCTGGGAAGGTGGCTCAGTGGTAGAGCGCTTGCCTTGCATGCCTGAGGCCCTGGGTTCGATTCCTCAGCACCACATAAGCAAAAAGAAAAATCCGGAAGTGGCACTGTGGCTCAAGTGGTAGAGTGCTAGCCTTGAGCTGAAGAGCTGAGGGACAGTGCTCAGGCCCAGAGTTCAGGCCCCACAACCGGACCCCCCCCTCCAAAAGAAAAAAGAAACAGGGACACAGGTTTCCTCTTTTCTCTTTCCTTTTGCCTGCCCAACTCCTGTGCTGTGCTGCTGCTGCTTTTTTTTTTTTTAAATCTCACTCTGGAGTTCGATCAGTGATATAAGACTCTGTTCTTGCTATGGCCCAGTCTCTATGACAGAAAGCAGCTTACCCATCTGGGGTCCCAAATGATGGAGTCTACTACTTACCTGCCAGAACTGCGAGTTCCTATCTCAAAAGAATCCAGCATTTCTAATTTTGCTAAGTGATGACATCAGCCAGACGGAAACCATAACCAAAAGTGAAGCCTTTTCATTTCAATGACGATTCCTGAGGAGTTTTTGCCTGGCCCTCTGAGGAGAGGCGTGGGTGTTGCTGAAGGTCAGGAAACGTCATGGCTGGGCTGCTCTGAATTCCTGTTTGGGGGAGGCTTTGTCTCCCCAGTCTGGGGGCTGAGGAAGAACCAGACTGAAAAGAGGAACCAAACAAGCTCTGGGCAACTTGGAAATTCCCACAGGAACCCAGCTCCTAGAGGGACTGCGCTACTTTGTGTAGAATAATAAGGATGCTACTTCAGCAGTGTCAGGGGCTCTGGGGGGAAGTCGGTTTCCTGAAACCTCTGTGTGAATTCCTAATGCCTCAGTCTGTTTCTGAGCTTGTTACCCAGGCCATTTTACAAATGGCCTTGCAACACTATCAAGCAGGGGTGAGGATTCGGAGACAAAGCCCTTCAACCAACATTCGAAGAGTCAGAATCTTCCTCCTGTGTCCATGTGACCTCCGGCTCCCTTCTCCGACTTCCCCACTCTACTGTAGCATAGGGCAGGGGGTGGTAGTATACTTGTGCATATCTGCCATCTAAGTAGCAAGGGGCCATCGGTGCAAGGGCCGTGTCTGTTTTATTCATTGTCACCTGTCAAGTCTCTAGAACAGGGCTAGGCCTAGTAAGTGCTCAGTAAATACTTGCTGGAAGTGTTTGGCTAAGGAATTTGGGACATGGGCTTTAGCTCCATCCACACTACAGATTAGAACAAGTTGGTTCACCTCTTTCAGCATCTGCCTTCCTGAATGTAATTATGTAATTATTGCAATGGTCATAGGCCTCTAGGAGCAAAGTGTTTTGTTAACTACAAGACATTCTACAGAGTTTTAGAGGTGTACCACAGCCTGGTGTGGTCCCATACTCAGGATGGGGTGAGGATGACTGTCTGGTCTGAGTTGAGTATCAACAGCTGGGGTGGGGCATCCATCAGTGCACTGTTACCCATGAACAGTCAAGAGCAAGAAGCAAGCCAGGTGCAGGTGACTTGTGTCTATAATCTTAGTTACTCAGGAGGCTGAGATCTGAGGATCATGGTTCAAAGACAGCTGGAGCAGAAAAGTCTGTGAAACTCTTATCTCCCATAAAGTACAGAAAAAAAAAAGCCAGAGGTAGAGCTGTGGCTTGAGTAGTAGAGTGCTAACTGTGTGTGGAAGACACTCAGGGACAGCACCCAGGCCCTGAGTACAAGCCCTACTATCAGAAAAAAAAGGAGAGGCAGAAAGGGAGCAACTAGGCAGATAGTGGGAGACAGCACCCAGTGGCGATAAAGCCCCTTTCTCTACCTGAAGAACTTGAGTGGCAGAGATAGTAGCCCGATGGAAGCCAAGCACCTCACAAGTTTGGAGCACATCTGTGCAGGGGACAGGTGTCTTCTCTTGCAGTGAAGTGGACAGTCACCCTATCAGATGCCAGAACAGCTGAGACTCACCCATGAGTACTACAACAATGATCAACGTCTGGCTCCCTCTTCTTGCTGTCTTGCTGTAAGAAGTCTGTGTTCTCTACCTCCTCCTCCTTGCCCGCGAAGCGAGTGGACAGGACTTCACTTGGCATGGGTGGCCCTCCCAGATAAGAGTTCTAGTGGGGGGCTCCTGTCAACCTGCTAGTAACCACGAGGCCATCCTCAGTTTCCTTGGCAACTTACCCCCACTTTCAAATAAATGTTGCTTCTGCTCCCAGCTTTCCTGTCTTGTAATACTTTATTTGGTAGAGAAAAGGGGTCCAAGACCCCTGGATAGTATTAGACAGGGACAGAGGCTGAGAAAGAAGGCAGAGCTGGTTAGCTGTCCTGGGGAATGTGGCTACCATGTCCCTCTATATGGCATGTTGGGGATACTCAGAAGCGTTAGCCCTCAGCCCCTGCTTTTCCTGACCCCTTTGCCTTGTTGCCTGATCACCCCAACTCCAGATTACTAACACCCCCCCCCCCCTCCTCCCAGGCTAAATCAGCACTATTGGCCAACAAATGTAACAATCACTAGTGCTGGCAAGTGAACTCAGTCTACGGCAGACTGTTATCATTATTAAAACAAATGAAGTTCGGATCCATGCCCAGCACAGATGAACCCAGAGGACATAATGCTGAGTGAGAGAAGCCAAACACCAAACAGCACATGCTGTAGGGCTCCATTTGTAAGAAATGTCCACCATAGGCGGTTTTATAGCAATGGAAAGTAGAAGAGTGCTTACTAGGACATGAAGGGAGGGGGAAATGGGAGCTTGGATGCTAATGCAAACAGGATTCATTGTAGGGGTGATGAAAAATTCCAGAATTAGATAGTGCTGACCGTTTCATAATATAGTGAATTACTCAAAAAAAACCAACAACTGGAATCTTACATTTTGTAATGGTGAGTTTGGGGCTGGGGACATGGCTTAAATGGTAAAGCACCTATCTAATCTGAGTTCAACCTGAGTTTCACCCAAGAACTGCAAAAATAAATTTGTAAATAAATTCATTAAATCATTTTAAAAAATTAATAAAATGGTGACTTGTAACATGACAAAAATTTAGGGAAAGTCATAAGATATAATAAAATGGTAAAATAATGAATAGCTTAAAAAATAGCCAGGCATTGGTGGCTCACACCTATAATCTTAGCTTATCAGAAGGCTAAGATAGAAAGATTTCAGGTTCAAATTTAGCCTAGGTAGGAAAATCTGTAAGAGTCTTATCTCCAGTTAACCACCAGAAAAGAAAGACAAAGTCTGAAGTGGAGCTGTGGATCAAGAGGTAGAGCGCTAGCCTTGGGCAAAAAGGCCAAGAGACAGCATGCAAGCTTTGAGTTCATGCCCCAGTATCGGCACTAAATTAATCAAATAAGTAAATAAATAACCTGGGTACAGCATTACAAAATCCATCAAGTGGTGTGGCATACACCAATTAATTGTTTGTTAAATGTATTTTACAGGACTATGAAAAAAAGAACATTAAATTTAGAAAGAAGAAAAAGAAACAGCATACATACCACCTATTATCCTACCATGGAGAGATTTTACTGTTGATGTTTATGCATTCATCCCCATTTTTTGTGGTTGTGACATTTGGGGACCCTGTTCTAAGCTTTCCAACAAGTAAATCACTCCAAAAGGGCTGGTGTTGGCCATCGGCTGGGTGCCCAGCAGCACATGACTCCAACTTTGTCTCCCATTTAGACCAGCTCACATACTCTGTAAAAATCAAATCCCTACATTTTTTAAAACTCTGTCTCACTAAATAGTATTTGCGTTTTCTTTTTTAAATGGGCAGAGTCTTGAACAGCTGTGGTCAGGGTAACCATGGTGACAAGAGGGATCCCTTGGCCAGCAGCATTCTGAGAGTACCATGGATGTGGAGGGAGTTCCCTCCGTGGTAGATCTTTGGGATAGACCTTCTTCCTGGATCTCAGTGTTTCTCCAAATGTGTCAGAATTCCTCTCTCATGGGAAGCTTTCCCACTACTTTTAAGAGTTGAACCTTCCCTAAGTACTCTAGTTTTGAGGGAAGCACAGCTTTTGTGGACCTCTCTGATGATGGTGGTGGTATTCTATTGTCTGCCTGAGAGCCACTCATTTCTGCAGCACACAGCCACATGTTTGTGCCACCCAGGACAATGCAAAAAACCCAAGAGACCAGACTGGGGCCCACCTGTTCAGGAGATGATCACATGCCCTAGAGGTACATTGCTAGGAAGATAGAAAGGGGGGCACTCCTGCCATGTGGAGGCTTCCTAACCCAGGACAGGAAAGGAGGGACCAGTATGGCTTGTCTCCTGCCCCTAGCCAGAGCCCTCTACAGTCTCTCTCCACTCTAGTCACTCTGTCTTGTCATAAAAAGAGATGACTTGCATCCATGCTCATCCAGCCTGGCAAATCCTCACATACACATATCAATCCATCCATTTCCCCCTAGCTCCCTTCCTATCATCAAAGCTGTTGCTGATACTACAATAACCTTCTGGTAACTTTT